CAAATAAGTGAAAAAGTACACAGTCATAGAAGGATGATTAATCACCAAGGTCATGAACAGTCAAATACCATCCAACTGTGAGCCTATTGTATGTATTTATAAAAAGAAAAACGTTCTCAGAACGATGATGTCCTTAAGGCCACAGGGCAGCTACACATGAAAACGCACCCAGTTGCAACGGTGTTTATGCTGTGTTAAGTGCTGTCCATGTGGTTGCATGCAGCGTACATCCTGCCAAGTACAGCACCTTGTCAGGGATGGACTCACCTGCTCTCAGGCTCCTCTGAGGCCAGAGCAGATGTTGCCACAGCACAGCCTCAGCAGTGGCAGGTCACTGTGACCAAGCCCAGAGATGGGACCAACTGCTGCACTCACAGGAGTTTGAGATACTGCTGTAGAGTCAGCATATTAACCATACTGGCCCCATTACGGGGGGCCAACACAGTCCAAGGGGTGGAGAATCATAGACTACAGCCAAAAGCACCATCCACGTGAAAAAGCCCCAGAGAAATAATGTGTAGTAAACCCCTCAACTCGAGAACCAAAGTACTGTCCAGTAAGTTACAGCAGGTAAATAAATTAATAAATCAGACTACAAGGACCATATGCAAAGTATTACCTGTGAACTGATGCCAAAAATACCTCTGCCTTCTGGTGTATGGCTGACAGCTTGTCACAAGTCACGCTGAATAACGTCAACATGCGGAAGGAGAATTGGCAGCACTGGGATGCCCTTAATTGGATGGCTTATCAGTAATAAAAACTGAAAAGCAGCATGTGGTTTAGAAATGTAAGTAAGTGTTAACATCAGCATTAACACATCATCCAGATGACAAGGCCAGTAGCCAGGGCTCAGGCCCCTGCCCGATGGTGATGCTTTTAGCTCCACTGCTCTCCGTTCTACTCCTGTTCTCACACCCACTATTGGGTTCACTTGTTGCTACTAGAGCCTTTCTACTAGCCAAAAAGCTTACTGATGTAATCAGCAAATTACAGTGTCTTTAGGAAAAGGTCGTTAGCTGTATGTGCATCAAGGGGTGGAGTGTAGCAGTAACCAGAAGACTATTGCACATCGAGGAGTTAGCGATCCACCTAAGTTGAGATAAGACGCTGCAGGCCTCTGCTGCACGTATCACCTGGCCACAGGACAAACTTAGCCAGCTAATCCTAACTGGGGAGCCTGCAGGTGGCTCCCATGTGGCAACCTGGTGATACCACAACCTGGGCAGCTGCCAGGGTCCGCCTCTGGGAGAGGGCAATCCTGGGCAGATTGCTCATCATGACAGGGAGACAGTAACATGGAAGCCCAGCCCTGTTCAGGGAAGAGCCAAACTTGTAATACTTCATTTTTGAATTCTGTTTCCAGCCTGAGGCTCCTGCAAACTAGTATTTCTTCCCACTGTTACTCACATAGGAGGCATTTCATACTCACTTTCCTTCCTCTCTGCATGGTTGTGGTTGGCAGTATAGCCAGCCTTACTTTTGTTTCTTGTAGCTGTGCCACAGCTGCTGCCACTTGACACACACACCTGGATCTGGGATTACATTTTGATTTTTATTGAAATACAAAAAGTGCAAACTGTGAAATATAAGATCGGTGCAGATTAGAAGGAATTAAACAATGTGAACCGTGAAAACCCCAGCCCTGCACCTGATGAACATCAACAGAAAATAAGGCAGGGAATACCAGCAACAAAAGCAAGCCAAAAGTTTTGCACAGGAGCCCCCATGCATAAAAGAGGAAACAGGGACCAAACTGGCCCTCAGCGCTCTCTCAAATTAGCAGACGTTGCCACAAGGCATCCAGATGGCCCCAGCCCCCCCTGCACCACCCAAAAGCTCTGGTGTCAGCACATAGCTTGGGCCAGGGAGCAGGGAGTGATCAGAGGCCATTAAGACAGCAGGAGGCTTAGCAGAGGGGAATGGTCTAGGTGCTAAAAAGCAGAGGGTTGAAGTGGAACAAGTACCCCCACAGGGAGAAATGGCTAATAGCTAACCTGAAAGACGAGCCAGGGAAGAGACCCTTGGGCAGCTCTACAGCAAGGAGAAAACCGACAAAGACCAGCACCCTAATCAGATACTGCCCCCCACCTATCCATGGCAGAGAAACCCAGCCCAGCCAGCCCCCTGCCTCAGCGAGGAGGCTGACCAGGTGAGGAGGAAATTGAACCCCCCGGGCTTGGCTGCACCTAGTGCAGGCTGCAGGCAGGCCCAGGCCTTGCTCAAGTCACAGGAGGGATATCGCAATACAAGGCATTCAGGAGAGCAGACTGCAGAAGCAAAAGCAACCCTGGTTACTGCGCCTGCTCCAGGGCCCCCAGCAGCTCCAGCATGAGGAGCAGCAGAGGAAAGGGGATATTTACACTGGGTCCCTTCCAAGATTTGCAAGCACTTTCCCACCATGAGCAGTAGCAGCTTCCTGAACACCCTCCAAATCTGCTCCCTGCAGGCACTGAACTGGAGCAGGCTTTTATCCCTGCCTGCAGGGGATGCACCAGTCTCCATTTTGCTAAAAAAGGAAACATTATTTCAAGAATTCACAAAAAAAAAAAAAAGCACCCACCGAACAAACTGCAGTCAGAACACCGACACTTGTGGCAATCCCTGCTCTCCCCCTGGAGAGGAACTAAGCTACCCCAGCACTGCTCCTCTCGCTACTGGGCAGGGAATGGTCCTTGCTGCTCTGCAGGGCTGGAACGTGCCACCCTCCCCAGGGAGCCGGGGCTGCACATAGGGCCAAGGCCTCGCGCCCCGGCACACAGGCACTTCCCGTTCCAAGTTGCTGACCTTGGGCTTGTTTGTCCCAGGGGAAGTTAGCTGGGTTTGCCTTAGAATTCACGGGATATAAGCGAGGCCAGTGTCAGCTGCAGTTACAGTCAGAGCTCCAAGTCTCCCCCCATTCTGAAGCCTACGCAGAGCAGGGTGCCTGCACTGGGCTCCCTCAGCCTCCACGCTCCTCCCATGCTGTCCAGAAAGCCTTGCCTCTTAAAAGAAGCACTGGGGCAAGCACACTTCTTCCCACACTGTCCATCCCAGGAGATTACTCCTCCACAGCACATCAGCTCTGCTAACCTACTCTAGCAGAGATCACAGGTGATTTAGGAGCTGAGTATCTCTACCTCCAAAACATTTATTTGGTCACTGCTGTGAATTGTTCAGGCTGAAACAATTCATACCCTGGCCAAACAGGGAAGACTCCTACTCTTGGAAGAGGAAGACTAAGCAGCCTTGCAGCCTCCACAGGGCAAAGTCCCCCAGTATCTAGAAGGAATCAGACCCAGCCCTCTCCTAGAACATCTCTTGCTCCAGCCTTAGTAACGCTCAGTTTCTTGCTCACTGTTCCCACCCACGTGTTGGTGTGCCTCCTCCGAGCCAGCTGGCTGGACCTGCGCTGCCCTGCAACACTGCCTATGTTCGCACCCATCCCCATTCCAGAGCTTAGCAAAAAGAGCAATTTCCAAAATAACTGCAGCAGATGTCACTTATTTTGATTACAACTGGGGCACTGACCTTTGGTCAGTGTTTAAAGCCAGGCTAAAATATTATGAAAAAGCAAATTCTATTTAGCATCCAGTAGCTTTTTAAAAATTAGTTCTGCTTGGTCCAAAAGATTTGTCCCTGTGGCCAGATGCAGCAGGGAGGACTGGCCCAGCCACACAGGGCACAAGATATAAAGACATAACACACCAGTAAAGTAAGGCTAGAAGCTCCCTACTAACACCCTGCTGGGCCCAGGCTAAGGAGAGGGATCTCTTTTAGCTCAGGTAACGGGAATGCTGCAACCCAAAACCAACAGTGATGCCCTAACGGTATTGCAGCAGCTTTGGGAAGGTGCCAGGCCCACCCCACTCTGAGCCTGCCTTGCGGACAACCTGATCTCCCCAGCCGTGCCCAGCGCATACGGGATGCATCTGACCAGGCTTCCACGGTAGGATGGAAGGAAGGTATGAACTGAGGAGGAGACGGGGCAAAGGCCCTTGGCATGGAACAGCTGTTCCCTCACAGCTTTGGCACATGAGTGCTCAGCACCTGGGCAGAAATTTGTAATCCAGGCCTGGTGCACTCCAGGGTGAGGGTCAGCCCCAGTCCCTAGACCTTCCCTCAAGGCCATGCTCTCTGTTACACTGTGCTGGGGAAAGTTCTGCTGAAAAAGACAACTAGCCAAGGCAGTCTGTGCCAGTCAGCACAGATACACGTGCCTGATGGAGGAGAAGAGGCCTTGTGCTGCTGCCACAGGGAAAGGCAGTGATCCTCATAGTGTTCAGCAGTTCATTGCCACCAGAGCACTTGCTCCCTGCCATTCAGACTCACCAGCTGTCAAAGGGCCCCAGCCAGCCCCCCCGCACAGCCAGATCTGGCATGAACCTTCCCAGCCGGGCTGGAAATGCTGCTGGAGGGACAAACACACCTGAGCTGGGTAACTATGGGAGACACCTCACCCACTACACCCCAGCAAACACTGACTAGTATCTGGAGTGGGTGACCCCAGAGGGGTTTGGGCTAAATTCAGCTTCCTTGTATTGGAGTCTGACAGGTAATACAGCCCACGTGCTGTGAGCCTGTCCTTCACTTGCCTGCCAAAAGCATGGGGTCTAGAGTGGTGTTTGCAAGTGCAGGACATGCTGCTACCTGAAGCACAAGGGCTGCCTGGCTCCCTTCCCTGCTTCAGGTGCCTCTGGGGAAAGGCAGGATGCACGTTCAGTGCTGAGAGATGGCACTCGCAGCAAGAACACCTCTGCCACAAAACCCAGCCAAGCCTGCCCTAGCCCAGACAAGCCAGCTGAGGCAAGGGGGGTGAGCTGGGGCTATTGGGAGCTTAAACAAAAAAGATCTTTGCTGAGGAAGGGACCAGGAGGGAAGAAAAACTGCATGTGAGGGAAA